TGAAACAAAAGCAAACTTTATTAAAAAAAAATCACCATGGGGCACAAAAAATTTAACAGTCAACTGGGACCACAGCCAGAGTTCGGGCTTCTAAAACTGTGGCATGGGGGTTGGTTTTGGGCCTCTTCCTATAGTAAAACCAAGCACCAGGTGTGGTGCTTTTACAACCAAAGAGCTTTTGCAACCTTGAAGTCACATTACATTTTAAGTTTTACAACTTTTAGTTATAGGATGTTAGGGTGTTAGCTTAGGATGTTCCCAAAAGCCTGTGGCTGATACAGCCGCCTTTCGCTGTCCCTGAAAGAATGCAAGGCAGAGAGCAGAGTCACATAGGACAGTTAAAAATAAAGGGAATACAACACAGAGGGTCCCATAGAGGCAATAGTTAGAAGCCAACCTTTGTCTGCTGTACCTGTCTAGCTGGGAAGCTGGGAGGTGGGAGACATTTGTTAAAAGTTACCTCTGTACACAGAGGCTGCCAGGATGTCTGCTCTTAAGGCAGAAAGCTTAATAGTAGCTACCAGCTTTTTTTTTCTTTCCAAAATGGTTTGGGCTTACAATTTTATATCTCTATATTCCTGAACCCTTCATTTCTATATTCTTATTTGTGGACCTTTCAGTTTTAAATAAATTATGTCTCTGGATGGTCAGGTTCCCCCCTCCTCTTGGTTTCTATGGTGATTTTTCATTAGGTCTTACACGCATATTACATTTCTGGTCTAAATTTGGCTTGTCCATAATATACTTTTAAAACTCTAATGTTGGGTTGGGCTTGCTAATGTTTTGTCTAGGATATTTCTGGGTATGTTGTTACCCAGATTTATTCATCTTAGTTCTTCTTTCTGAATTGTTTTGTATAGTTTTAACATTAAAGTTATATTCACATTATAAAACCAGAGAAAAAGCATCCTTCTTCCAAGCTCTGGAAGAGATTATGTAAAGTTGAAACTCCACAATCCTCAAGTATCTGGTAAGAGTTTCCAGTAGGGCAGTCACTCCGCAGTTCAGTCCACTCCTTTGTCTGCGACAGTTCAGACAGTTCCCCAGGAAGCAGTTACTGTTAAGAAAGCACACAGACTTGCAAGTGAGTCACTTGGTTTGTATAAACTAGAGCAGATTCAGAACCCCTCTCACTTGAAAGTCTGAATGGAGCTGGGTGAGGCGCCTTACTCCTATAACGACCCACTAGGGAGGTTGAAGCTGGAGAATGGCTGTGAATTTGAGACCAATCTGGAATACATCGTGTGGTGGAGACAGAGAAGGGAAAAGGGAGAGAATGAATCAGGGGCAACTCTAAGAACCGTAAATGAACCTAAACTCCTCAGCAGCTCATTTCCCTGTGAGCTTACTGTTTTCCGACTACTTGTAAGCACTTAGGTTGACAAAAGGCTTGAAGTCTAGAGGCAGCTAGACTTGTCTGCAATTCCCAATGTCCTTGTTCTCATTTCCAGCACAAGGAAAAAGGAGAAATTCCATTTACGTTAAAAAAGGAACAATGTTATAAAATAATATCTTCCTGTAGTCAACTGAAGTCTAAGCAGGTTAGATGGAAAATTCCAGAAATGAATAATTCATAGGTTTTAAATAACTTATTACAAAGTTATTATTACTGAGGATGACAGGGACTACTATAATCCAAGAACAAAGAGTTACCACTATAGAAGGCCGTTGTCTCCTCCTTGTGGAGGTTACTATTGTCTGTTCACAATTTTGCCATTTTCATCTTGTGGAAGATACCCTCAAGTCAGAAAGTCTTGCTTGTTATAATCTTGGGTGGATAACCCAGAATTTCACATTTGGAAAGTACATGTTTCATCACTGAGCTATATTTCCAGCTCTGGGATTTTTTTTTTCTCCAGTTTGTGGTGGGGTTTGGGTAGATAGTTTTACTATGCAGCTCTGGTTGGCTTCAAACTCACTATGTGATCTAGCAGTCTCCATCTGGGGACCTGAGATCTTCCTGCCTCAGCCTCCTGAGTGCTGGGATTATACACACATGCCAAGAGGCTCATTTACAAAACCTTTTGAAGCCATTCTGAGCAGACGCCTTCTCTGCGCCTGCACCCCCACCTCTCATTGGTCTGATCCCTTTCCAGGCTTTCTCCAAAAACAGATCTCTGAACCTATGAGCTGGAAGAGGTTTTGTTGACCAGTGTTGGCTCACTCAGCCCAGGAGGACATAGTGTCCCAGGCACTTTCTCTCTACCCCAGGCCACTTACTCACCTTCGGGAGGGAAGCTGCCTCCCTTTGTACCTCTTAGGCTATTTAAGGGGAGGAGTATTTGACACCTTTAGCAAGAAAGATTGGCCCCTTCCAATCATGCCAGATATATTAACATTTAATATTTATTCTAAATTCCTTGGGGGGGGACTTTTATGTCTTTTCAATTGAAGGACATTTGTGATACAAGATTTTGAAAAACATTCATTAGTATTATTGGCAAATTTACCAGGATTTTTGCACCTAAGTTGTAACCACTTAAGATGTGAATGGAAAGTTACCCTAGCTACTGCCCTAAGTGTTTTGATTTTGGTTGTCACAATAAATCTTTTGATTAAGAATTTGAAAAATATTTTGGTGGTATGTATTGATTTGCATATTAGGGGAGTTGGGCATAATGTTTCCACACGGGCAGTGCTCAAATCCAACCTCCCTTGTCCACCCTCTCTACTCCCAGTATCTAGAATATTTTTAAAGATTTATATTTATTATTTTTAATTATGTATATGGATGTGGGGCACATGTGAGTGTAAGGGCCTGCAGAAGGCAGAGGTTTTGGATCTACTGGGACTGAAATTATAGGCGTTGGTGAGCTGCTGGGTATGGAGTTCTGGGACCCAACCCTGTTTCTCTGCAAGAGCAGTATGTGCTCTGAATCACTGGTCCTGTCCCCTAATTTCTGGAATTCTCACATTGCTAACCATGTCTTGGAGAAAACAGCAGCATCTTTGTCTTTGGTGGTCACAGTCTTTGACAAATAAGACCTCTTGATCTTTCCGGTGAATCCTTCCGGTCTGAGTACTTTCTGTTGCCTCTCGATGTCCCCCTCATTCCTGAGGACCCTCCTCCTTCTCTTCTGACAGAGTCTGGCACACGGAGCCTTGCAGTGCCTCTTTTCCAGAACTTCCAACATGGCTGTGAAGGACATGAAGAACTCTGATGTGGAGGCTAGGAACTTGGGTATTGTGGTCTTGGCTTTTAGAGATGAAAACTTGGGAAAAGTCAGGCCTCTAAGAAGTCCTTATTCATCTAGTAAATGGGGATAATGGCCCTTATTTGTGCAGATATTGTGAGTGATGTAAGCTTGCTTTATATATTAAGCAGTTGCTGTGTTCTGAACTCACAAATGGTGTTTGTAACCTCTGCCCCTCAAACTTGTTTGCATATCATCCATCTACTCCTCTCAGTGTGTCTTTTTCTGGAAAATAAGCTGTCCTGAAAGACTCTGCAGGCCACATAGATGGTACATTCGAGAGAAGAGTGACTGATCATAGATAAAAATGGAGTGAATAGGGTGTCCTCTAACCATCTCTTATGATTTTCTGTTATTTCCTTACATTATGACTCTCACGGGCCCTAGATACTTTTCTCTTTCAGGATCACTTTCCTCAGAGAAAGAAGAAAAACTAAAATATTTATTTTCCATCTGTGTTGCTAAAGATGAATGCAACTGAGACAAACCACACCAGTGATTATGTTGACTTTCTTTCTGTTTCATAATAAAAGATAATAATAGAAAATATATCTCTGTACCCCTAAAAGTACTGTGAAGCCCAGTAAGTTAGGGTTTACGATGCTGCTTAAGCCACCCTGCCATACAGCTTAAATTGGAAAGACTTTGATGGCATGATCTGTGTGCATAATTTAATTATGTAGTATAACAAACTGTGACATATGGTTCTTGGCTTCTAAGGTTGATATGAGTAAAACAGAGGTTTCAAGGAATCTATCAGATGTCACTATCTTTCAAAAACACCCGAATGGAAGCAAATCACTATTGCAAGTGGCTTACTGTAATATTTATAGGTAAATTGGTATGTGTCTGTGAGGAGAATACATGGCTGTGATTAAATTAACAAAGTCTTACAGAAATAACTCTATAAAGTCCTTGTTTCTTTCAGTTAAAGGAACTGATTCAACAACAACATTAACAACAACAGTGACAACACGCATCACCTCCACTCAGGAATTGTCAACATCTTCTCAGAACCACCACAGTGAAAGCATGGAGACCAAGAGCACTCCTCAAACCACCCTCACAGAGGTGACCACATCAACTCCTTCACCCTCCCCAAGTGGCTCAACTCCAGCACAGACAGTGTCCCAAGTGACATCATCTCCAGTTGAAACAACCAATCCATCTTCTTCCAGTGTCAGCAACACATCCCCAGCCACATCAGAAGAGCAAACCACAGCAACCTCTACAGACTCTGCTCCCGAGAGCACAACTCCAGGAATTACCCAAAACTCTGTAACCACCACAGCAGTCTCAATGAAATCTTCAGCACAAAAACTGTCAACAGTGACAACACCCATCACCTCTACTCAGGAATCTTCAACAACTTCTCAGAACCAGCACAGTACAAGCATGAAGACCAACAGCACACCTCAAACCTCCCTCACAGAGGTGACCACATCAACTCCTTCACCCTCCCCAAGTGAACCCACTGTGTCACACACAGAAACAACCACCCCATATGCTCACACCATGAGGAGCTCACCTTCAAGCACACCTTCTACACCATCCACCTCAGAGAATACAGGGCATACAACTGCAATACTTAGCCAAAGCTCAGCACCAGTCACCACTGAGGTCTCAACCACAACCTCAGCACAGGAAGTGTCCACAGTGCTCACACTAAGCACCTCTACTCAGGAATGGTCAACATCTTCTCAGAACCACCAGAGTAAAAGCATGGAGACCAAGAACACACCTCAAACCACCTTCACAGAGGTGACCTTGTCACAGACAGAAACAACCACCCCATATGCTCAGACCATGAGGAGCTCACCTTCAAGCACACCTTCTACACCATCCACCTCAGAGAATACAGGGCACACAAGTGGAATACTTACCCAAAGCTCAGCACCAGTCACCACTGAGGTCTCAACCACAACCTTAGCACAGGAACTGTCCACAGTGCTCACACTAAGCACCTCTATTCAGGAATGGTCAACATCTTCTCAGAAACACCAGAGTGAAAGCATGGAGACCAAGAACACACCTCAAACCACCCTCACAGAGGTGACCACATCAACTCCTTCACCCTCCCCAAGTGGCTCAACTCCAGCACAGACAGTGTCCCAAGTGACATCATCTCCAGTTGAAACAACCAACCCATCCTCTTCCAGTGTCAGCAACACATCCCCAGCCACATCAGAAGAGCAAACCACAGCACCCTCTACAGATTCCACCTCAGGAAATACAGGGCACACATCTCCAACGGTTTCTCAAAGTTCTTCCTCTATAACTACTGGAGTCCCAGTGACAAATTCGCCAAATGTCCTGTCAACAGTGACAACACCCATCACCTCTACTCAGGAATTGTCAACATCTTCTCAGAACCACCAGAGTGAAAGCATGGAGACCAAGAGCACTCCTCAAACCTCCCTCACAGAGGTGACCACATTAACTCCTTCACCCTCCGCAAGTGAACTCTCTGTGTCACAGACAGAAACAACCACCCCATATGCTCACTCCATGAGGAGCTCACCTTCAAGCACACCTTCTACACCATCCACCTCAGA